GCTAACATCACCCCTGAGCACTTTTTATGTTGCATGGAAGCAGTTCTGATTCTGTTTGCTGGGTCCATCCACAGCACACCTCTACTGTCTGCAAAGTGGCCTTTGGTCATGCATAAGCTACATGAGTGTATTTTGGATGAAAGAAGTACCAGGTAGCTTAAAAACCATCTTACAGGCTGAGTGTGAAGACAGAATGTAATTGCTTTTTAATTATTTCTACTTTGATTATGAAAGACTACATTGCTAGTTAAATATAATATTGAATGTCATTCAGTATTGTATTTAGGCTGTGTCCATCCAAACCACACAGATTTTTTTTTTGTCATAACTGATAGAATTCCATTTTACTCAGCTGGTTTGAATGGTCTTTGACTTTCTAAGAGTTCATGTACTGTTTGAAAAAAATCTTGAGCATAGTGCAATGCATGTTCAAGCTATACAAAGCCATGAAGGCACAGTCCCTGTAGTGGGGGAGTGCAGGAGAAATGGCACAAATGGCACAGAAAAACTGAACAATTAACAGTAGAACATGCCCTGCTCAGCCAGTGATATTTAACTATTGCTTACCTAAAGGGTGTTCTTTGTAGCTTAACTGCTATCTAAAAAGCATATCTAAAAAGAACTCTGTGAGAGATTTTCCTGCTTTCTACTCTGAAGTAGAGGTTAGGCTTCTGTAGTAGTGGGAGCCTGCACTTGGAGACAGACCTGCTCAGTAACCAAAATTTCCGTCCTCCCTCCCCCACCCTTTTTCTCTTTCTTTTGTATGTTTTGTATTCATTTTCTAGCTAAGGAAACCTTATTGGTCTCCAGTGTCATTTTAGCAGCTGGATTAGTTCCAAAGGATTTAGGCTCCGGCAACCAGCACTTGAGTCTCTCAGCAAAACTCTGCTGACAGCCACAAAATATACAGCTGTTCCTCTTCAAGCCACGATGTCATTCAGCCCAGCACTTGGCCAGTATTGGATTGCTTGTATCCTTCATTGTTTGTGCAACTTTCCCATTATAACCTCTGTCAGTGGTGGGGTCAGATGGCAATGATGACATTCTTGGCATAGCTTCTTTTTTCATATCCTTAGAAAAAAATAATCCCATAGTAGCACTTAATTCAGTTTCAGTATTGCCTTATTTGTCCTATTGGCTTGATGGCTCGTACTCCTCCTTCAGCTACTGTGACCACGACCAGGCAAATGTCACAGGGTGGTATTTGCTGTTACTTGAATAAAGTTATCCTTGACCTCTCATATTTGCTTTCTGTTGAAGATTTTATAAGGAAAATTTTATTCCTGGTAAGGGAAGAAGTGGTGGAACATGGAATTCCACAAATGCATGTATTGGCAAAACAGCGTCTGCTGATTAGTGCAGCTGGGGACAGAAACAACTACATCAGGAACTGATCACACAGCACAGACCTGAACATGAGCGGTTTTAAGGGACAGGCAGGTGTGAGCAACCTTTATTCATGGAGACGCTGCCTAGAAAGCACACAGGGTGATGTCAAACTAATGGCAGTTAAACTGGAAATCTGTTGTGAACTGAAACTGTTTCTGACCTGTAAATGGTTGCACCTTTATTATGATGCAATTCTTACACTGACAGACCTCAAAATTAAACCTTAATTCATTAAATCATAGAAAACCAGTGCTTTGGACAGGCTGTGCAGCAGGCTCTGCAGACACTTGTTTGAATGAGAGAACACTGGAAAAATGTGTTCTTGCATCATACTTACAGAATTTCCTACTTGAGAACAGTGACATAATGATTTCTGAAAGCTTGTCTTGTCCTTTTCCAGAAAGGATGGTTTCTAGAAACGTTTGCCTTCTCAATTGCCAGGACTTTCAGTAGGCTGCTTCATTGTCTCCTCTGCTTTTTATTACAAGGAGGACCTTTCTAAGTCATTAGTCATGTATCATTCCATTGTCACAAGAACTTGTAGTAGTTGTTCCTTTCTCCCTCCAACTTATTTCACGTGATACCACTGATTATCCAACACTGCATTCCCAAGCAGTATATTCATGACTGAGTCCTCTTTAGGTGCATCGTTTTCCTTTGATCAAAAATTACAGAAAAGAATAGACTTGGCAGTACGTTTTCTCATATACTAGAGGTGAGGTGACTAGGAGAGTACAAGAGGATAGAACTGCACTGATACTAGAAACAAAACTGGGGAGTCTGAGAGTGGTGGGAAAAAAACCCAAAAACAAACGCCTAACAAACAACATCTGGGGTTCAAATACTCACTGTCAGTTATTTGCAATATGAACTATCAGAGTTATCTGTTGGCATTGAACTTCTTAATGTAAAGGGCAGGAGCTTGCTGATCAGAACTGCTTTTTCTTATTTTCAGACTGTCTTGCATATATAATTTTCAGACCCTTTAGCCTATGCTAGATGTCACCAAATCTACTTTTAGCAAGTTTTAGTTAGTTAATAATGATCTTAGACCAAAACATGGCCTTGCTGAAAGAACAAAGAGTGACTCTGGTATTTTTGTTTGTTTCTTTGCTTATTTGCCCATCCAGTTATATTATCCTCCTCTTAAATGCTCGCGCTTCATTATCACCATATATATGTGACTGGGTTTGTGAGAGGTGTTCCAGGTGTTTTTTTGTGGCACTGTAACTCTTTGTGCAGCATCTTGGGAGGGCAATACAAGGTAATGGATGAACACAGGATTAACAGACCGCGCTGTGGCAACCCCAGGGGCGACTTCTCCAAGGGTTCAGGAAGGAGCTGTTGAGCTTTTCCTGTACCTGTGGCTGTTTGTGTTTCTCTGGGATACACAACAACTGCACAACACTTAAATAGGCATTTTTATGCATAAAAATGTCAAATGAGAAATGTCATAGAATGAATTTTTTTGTTTGTTTTTGGAGGAGAGCCCTTGTAATAGGAACAAGCAGATTGCAAACATTCTTCCAACTCTTACCAGTAGGTGTCACAGCACTGACAGCAAGGAAGAGAGAAGTATTTTTTTTAGTTTCTAATAATAAAAAGACAATAAAAACTTTAAATTTGCAGAAACAGCTGGAGAACTTGTATAACCTGACTTTTCTAGTAGGTCAGTCTCTTCCAAAACAAGATTCATGGTACATACTAGCCTTTGTAAAGTAAATATGCTATTTTTATTGCTTCTATATCTTAGTCTGGTTATTTTTTTTTTTTCCATTTCCTTCTGCATGTAGCAGATGTTAACAAAGATAACAGTAGGTTATGGTAAAATAATTCCTTTCTTAGAGAATCTCTGCAAATGACAATGCTTTTTGTGGATTAAGAATGATTGATAAACATTATCCTTTTACCAGGCAGAATAAAGTTCAGTGTTAACTTCCATTACTAAAGACAACTGTATGCAACACTATGCAAGAATTTAAAGACGTAAGAAATCCTATTTAATTTCCATGACCTTTCACATGTCCTAATACTTTACTCACTACAACAATGGCTAGTTCCTGAATATTATTACTGTAAATTAGGTGAATCCAAGGGAAAATAAAAGGTGAGGGGACTATTTAAAAACACCTCAATCCTCACCTAATTCACTCCAGTGGAGTAAGTGTTGGATTCAGAGCACACAGTGGTATTTTGAGTTAGGCAGGGAGAGTGATAGAAGTCCAGAAACAAGCAGAAGGAAGAAAAACAAAAGTAATGCTGTGGAATACTGAAAAGAAATACTGACTACAATATGAAAATTAAAAGACCTTGATATCTGCCAGCATTTCCTTTGGGCTTAGGTCCTAAATGAACAAACTTCTGGTTACTTTTCTAAAGGAACTGACGTTTCTTTTCTCCTATAACCTGAGATACCAAAAGAGTGTTTTGCAAGATACAGTGATGTTTTCACAATGCTTGGAATGAAGTCTCCTCTTTCAACACAACAGCTTTGGGTGTCAGTGCTCAGCTCTGAATGCCCTGACGTGACTGCAGATCCTCTCATCTCCCCTACCCCGTCAGTCCGAGTGAATCAGCCTTCAGCCTATTTGCTTCTAAGGACGACTTGAATTGACAGTAGAGCAGACACAGCCAGTCAATGGCTTATTGCTGGTGTCACTGTGTGCTAATTATATACCAGGTAATCACACTAGAAAACATGTGAACAGCTTTCGAACTGCCGGTGCTATTTTTACTAAACCTCAGCTATAATTACTGTGCATTCAGTCACTGGCACTTCAGCTGCCCCTTTCTGTTGTATTTATAGATAAAAAGCACTGGTGAGGGTAATCGGCCAGGACAGGCACTCAAAGGAGAAGCTAATCCTGCGCTGGCCGTGCTCTCCCAGGAGAGTGATCACTGTCCTCTTCTGTACCGGGTAGGTGGGAACTGGGAATCAAAGGCCATAGCTTTTGCTTCCCTGTTGAGTTCGGAATACTCTCACATGTCACTGTGCCTAGGGATTCCACAGGTAAGTAAAAGGCACTGTAACAAAACTGCAAGAGAGATAAAAATCTTGTCAGTACTACTAATATCACTGAGATACAGGTTTTAAGGCCTGACTCTACCGTACTTTCCCCAAAGGCATTTCCCTCAGTACTGCTTGATCAGCCAAGAATAGGCAAATAATTTAGACTTTGTAGGAATCTCATATTTATCTCAGAAATAGTTTAACTGCATCTTGCCTATAATATTCTTTCAGGAATGGAAATGGCTGTTTATGATGCACTCCCTGAATAACAATTTCTAGAATAATTTCTTGAAATAATCTTGTCATTTTCTAATTGAAATGATACTTGCAAATAGGAAAACCATCAGTATTGTGCAAACTCATACTCTACCACCACTGCTGATCACTTCTTTCTTACATATGTAAAAGTTCAAAGTTGCTGGCTCTAATCTGAGCCCCAAACTCTTATCATGTTGTTCAAAATCACCACTCTTCCAGGGGGAATATAAAATGTCCCTCATTTCGTGTTACAACGGAGTACAGCTGTTTACCACCGCATCACAAACAGGGAGTTCCTTCTCACTCTGCATCTGGGTCTTCATTTTAAATAACTGACAATGCATTTCCATTATATTTATTTATTTGAACACTACGATTTAAGAGCCTAAATGCAAGTTTTTCCCTTTATTTCTGCAAGTAGCACTGCAATCATAACTTACAAAAAAGTTTAAAATACAAAATGTACATGAAATTACAATACAAGGCTCTGTAAACATCTAGAACTTAATCTTTATTGTCCCACATTTTTAAATATAAAACTTCAATTTGAACGATTTCCAAACCTCAAGGAATGACATCCATTATGAATATCAAAAATAGAGTTTCAAAGCTCTGTATCAGAACAAAACTATTACGTTCTTTTCATTCTTTGGTTTAAAAAGGGTGGCAGTTCCCCTGATAACAGATAAGTTTTACTACAGAAATTCAGATTGCTAGTTTATAGTAATTTCAGAACTCACCCTCCTCCCCCCTGGATTAATATGCTACCCCTTAATTTTTTTTAACATTGACCTTTGACCCTCTTTATAGAAAAGCTACCTCATCATTAAGGCTTTCCTTCAGGATAATCTAAATTATTTAAAATTTTTGGAAAACTACTCAGGGAGAATACAGGACTTAAGGGCAAGGAAGTGGATGCCAACAAAATATCAACAGTTACCGGGTTCTGCTGTTTAATTAAATTTGCATAGTCGAATAGAGATTGTGTGCTTTTTATATCACTAAAATTATACAAGATTAACAGTCTTTACCTAGGTTATCACACAAGCTAAAATAAAATTAAGACCCTTGTACTGAAGCTTTTACAAGGCAAATACAAAACTGCTTTAGTATCCAAAACTATTTTTTTAAATTTCATTTTTAAATAGGAAAGCATCTCTATGTCTACAGGCATCAAGGTATTTAAAGGCATCAGAAAATTTAGTGCATAGCAACTCCGGATTGTTTGGGCTCCTGTATTTTAGGTACAGTGTGAATTCCAGCTACTTGGAGAACTTGCAAGGAGAGTCTGTACCAGCAGGATAAAGGAGCATAAATCCCATCTAGCATGAAAAGCTTTTAAGTCAGAATTCTCCTACAAACAATGGTTAATGCAAAAGACCCAACACATGAATGAAAACTGGAACGTGCCTTGCCACCAGCACACACTCTGAAGACAGATTACACAGTTTACAGTGTTGTGTGGTTTCTTTTGTTATTAAGGTGTTAAAAACACAAGTAGATGTATTTCTGAGCATATGAGTCCTTTGTAGGATCTTTAACGTGAGTAGAGGACAAAGTAAAGCACCACTGCTGAGGACAATTACAATATCACACTTTTCACATTCCAGCTCTGCCAATTTTTTTCTGCAAATTTCAAGATTTGTACCACTGAACAGTACATTCACAAAACGGATGCTTAACAATTCCCAGCAGGTACATGGTGGCCTTGCACTAAGTTGTTTGAAATAATTATGAAACATCGAGATAGTAGCCTCAGGCTGCACTCTTAAAAGGAAGTTACGTGATGAAATTATAATTTCACCTGCTCAACGTATGTCCTTTTTAAAAGTTCATGATTCAGCTATTACAGAGATGTGATTATAGCAATTGTAATGGTATTGCTTGGGCACTGACTTCAATTCATGTAATGTTTTCCCCATGACTGTTTGCCAAAATGCAACGTCAGTAGAATTCCTCCAGGAATTATAACTCAGCACTGCTTTTTCCTGTCAGACCACTCTAAGTCTACAGAGAGGGGCATGTGCTCACCATGTGTTCAACTGCTAAATTGTCCACAGTTGTCTGAACTGGATCCAATGCAGATATACTTTTTAATTTTCTAATTCTTTGAGTTAATTCACTCAATTTTTGTTAAAGCATCATGGCTCACCCCAATGAGGAACTAAACTGAATGTCGTGGATGTTCTGATGTTCCATATTATTTCCAGTCTTCCTTTGCTATGACTGTTGTACCCTGTGTGTTCCATGGAGGAAAGCTCTGTAAATGAGTGCCTTTGGAGGCAGGGAAATGCGTGTGACACAGGCAGTTTCAGATCCTCTCCAAGGTGTCTAATTGTAAAGGCATGAGATTTTGAAATAAGTATGTAAACCGATTGTTTCCAATTTATCGGATCATGTGGGTAAGGGAGATGCATTCTTGGAGCACAGGGCAGAGTTCACTGCTGCCGTGGCGGATCTTGTGGATTTCTTTGGTAGCTTCTGCTTCACACCTTCACAATTCAACATGGACACATTACACTACCTAACCACTAATTCACAGTAAATTATTTTTGAGCAAACTGACATTTATAAGCAGCCTAAATTTAAGGAACTGTAATTGTCATCTCCTTAGGACTTCCAAGTGGCATGATCAGGCATACAGCATATAAAATGTACAGATGTGATCAAATGATTTATTGCATCAAAAACTTGAATGCCACTGAACTGATGATTTCAAAATCATATTCTGCAGGGAACATTTAGATCCTCAGCAAATATAAAATATTCTTCTGTTATCTAACATGGCTTTGATGTTGCTGTTCTTTAATCTAAAATCCTACTGCTCAAATTTGATTAAAAATGCAACTTTCTAAGAAAAATGCTATTTCAAGAAGGAGCCTGTGCTAATAAAGATCAGGAAGATTATCCACAAAGTTATAAAAGTTAAATTTTGGAATGTAATTTCTATCCCAACACTTTCATGATGGAATGGTCTTTTTGCAGCCTATCAAGTAACATTTTCAGTTTATAAACAAGTGCAGATCTACATTTGGCTTTGCTTCCTATGAATCTAAGAAAGAAAACACTACGATATTCATATACATAATGGCTCTTCCATGGCATTGGCTTCAGATGACAGGTATGATTTGCCACTGGAAGATCTTACTAAAAAAAAATTGACAATAGAAGCTTTAAAGGCTTTCCAAAATGACCAAAAGGTGTTACAAATCATCAGTTACAAACTCTACTATCTCTAAGGGAAAGCAGCACACTGCAGATGTGCATTCAATCTTTTTCCACATTCAGTACTGTGAATATTATAAGAGCAAACTAACATCTCCACACATCTGAAGCACTTTTAGAATATAAAAGTATTCTATTTAAATGCAAACAGCAAAGCTTGTTTGTAACTTTAAAACAGTTAAAATATCTGGTGTAGATTCTGTGTGTCCATTTTAAGAAGTCTCTTTACAGCATCTGAGGAACTATAGTTAAAATGCTCTGTCTCTACATCAAAAATGTAACCCACTAAAAGGGTTTTGCAAGGATCCACTGTTCCAGTTCATAAAGGCCACAGAGTTGGAAGCACAGTAAGTCTAAAGAGGAAGAGGATGAAGAAATATTCAGAGAAACGGTGAAGTTTTCATGGGTGTTTAGTCGTTAGCTTATCCATTACTGGATTCCATCAGATATTCTTGTCTCCAGAGATCCAGGACATGTACGTGCAGGCTGGCTGGCCACTGCTGTTCCATGTGACACTGAGATCTGTGACATATCTCTTCCTATGATCTCATTCACTATAAAAAAAAAAAAAAAAAAAAAAAAAGTGACTGTTTTTATGCTTTCCAAAAGGCAGAAATCATCAGTATATCCCTTTTAAAAAGAAATATTGCACTGCTAAGCCTTGATGCTGTTAAGTAACAGAAGATGAATGAGGAGCCTGGTTTCAGGAACGGGGGGGAGAAAAGGTTCTAGTTTCTCTTATTATTACACATGTACTTGCCATAATCCATGCTGGAGAATCCCTAATACCCTTGAAGAAAATAGGCTCATGAGTACTCACGATAAGCAGGTAACTGAAAGGCACAGCACAGGGCAGGTTAGTGCAGGTTTCCCCACAGAACTGGTCAGGAGTGTTACAGGCACAACAAATAACAACTCCTGGCTCTTTCAAGCAACTTACAGAACTTCCTCAGATGTGGATTTACGTTAACAGAATATTCTTTTTAAATACTATATACCTGTTTGATGGGCCAGTTTTCTGAATCCTTGCATTTCTGAAGCTGCAGTAACCACATCTTCTTTTGTTATCAATTTTTCTGTAATAATTAAAAAAGACTAATATGCAGGCCAGTCGGTGTGTCTGTGTGTGCATATATGTCAAATTCAGAAAAGTTTAATCACCTAGTACTATTTAAAAGTAAGGGACGTCTCTGTGAATGTGACAAACTAGCACCTAAGTTATCAACAAATGAAAATGTTGGAGTCTTACTCTGAAGCTTAGATAACTGCTGCAGGACACTTGAGTTTGGAAGATGACAAAAATAATTATTTTAATGGATAAGTAAGTGTAAAAGCCGTGATATAACACATTAAATAGTAATGACAAATTTTGAACAAATATTAGATTATAACCAAAATCTGTATAATTATTTAATTGGTAGAGGCAGTAAATTCTGTCCTTTTCCAGGACTGAGTGGCAATAGGCTACAGTAACTCTTACTCAACAAGACTTTGAATAAGACTTTGCTAAATTATACCTTTATTACTGGCATGAGTTTGCTTCTATAAACAGGCATTTAATGGGACCCTTTTGTTGAGTAAGGACCATTCTTAATTAAAAAAAAGAATGTTTTGCTCTGGTAGCAAGCTGCTTCAGTATATTTGGAACCAGTGTATTTGGAACCTAGGCTTTTGTTATTTTGTTCTCCTTTGGGTAATTGTACAGAACAGTGTTGATGTACTCTACACCCTGCGCAGTGCTTCCTTAATCTTCCCTAGCAGGATTTAGCTTCCTACTAATCATTCCTGTCTGGTAGAAGCATAATAAAATCAATGTACATGTAGTGTAAATTGCTCCTGCTGCTTACAGTGTTCTCCAGCCTCAGCATTGCCTTTGGCAGCAGCAGGAGCATAAGTGGGTCTAAAAGAAAATGCAGTAATACTGTGAATACACAAGTTACACAGATCTGTGTAACTTATATAAAATTCAACTCTGAAAAAAGGTTTTGTCATATTCTTTTAATTTACTCGGGAGAGCTCTAAAACCACCTCATGTCACAGCACAGGGGGCATTTTTTATCTAAGAGTCGATCACTGGCAATGGTTTTCTCCCGCATGAATGCAAGGATAGCTTATTAAATACATGTTATTGCAGCTCCAAAGTAAGTTCAAACAGTTCAGACCAGCTATGTAAAAGCCAATTCCCTCAAGCATTACAAGATTTGCAATTTATTTGGTTTCAAAAAAAACCTTTCATTCAATGAACTTAACTAGCACTATAACACTGAAAATTGTGATTGCAGGTAGGGCACTTTTCCAAGTATTTTTATTAGGCCAACGCAATGCCATAAGTAAACACCTGCTAAAAAACTTTTTGTTTTTTTAAACAAAATCTAGATGTTCATTTAGAACAACTGTGATCCATCAGATTCTGTCATTAGCTTGCTCTAACTGCAGGACTTCTAACAGCTCCTGTCGACTGAATGCTACTGAGCAGTTGGTCTGTGCAAACTGAGTATCGCAGCTGTTCAGTACTGCTAAAATTTGATGACTGGTACAATAAAAACATTAAAAATAACTTTTTGAAGTTCAGTATTTTGAAAGTATTAGACAGATACTTCCCGTAAGTTTTGATGGATGATGTGTACCTGTACTGGCACCATCAGCACCACCTGGTCTATACTGCTGCAGTGTTTTGTAGTTCCCACAGGCAAAGGTGTTTAACTGAACAGCACGTAGCCATGTGGCATTACATTTTCCTTAAAACACATATTACACTGAATATAGTAGCTGGTCATACGGGGTTTTATTTGCCGAACTTCTGCATAAGTCATTATGTATTAATGAGTATTGAAGTTCCAGGTTAGTCTGTGTTGTTTTGTTCTAAATAATCATTGATTTGTTTGTAAGAAGCTGTCTTGTAGCATAGGGCTTTTTCTGGCAATGCTTTTACCAAGTGGGGAATACAGATTTATCTGGTTTACATGGATTTACATTAGAAGCATCTGCCATTTCTTAGGGAAATGCAGGATCTTGTCTTCATCCCAACAGAGAATTCTAATGAAGAAGTCTTACTTACTCCAGTGGCTTTGTCAGGATTGCTAATTTATAATCCCAATGAGTATTCAAGTGCACTTTTAAAAAAAATTAGTATCTAACTCAGTGTTCTATCAGAGCACCATGCAGGCCTCAAGCAAAGGCCAGAATGCTTTTACTGCTGTGTCTGGCCAAGGTGTTTTCTCCCAGACCACCGTCCCAACTAACACATCTTCCTATTTTATACTTTCCAGGAGTGTCTAGTTCATCTGTCTGCAACTCTGTGAGCAACAAATGGATCAGGGGAGCTTGCAGACTCCAGAAGACTGTACATTGACTAGATGAGGTAGAAGTGATGGCATAAAGTAGTTTAAAATGCAAATCATGAAGTCAGTAAGAAGAGATAAAATCCTGCACAGAAACGTACAAGGTTGAAGGTGAAACCATACAGCACTTTCCTTTTTGTATTAATTTGTGATGGAGAAAATTGTATTAAAAAGACTAAAACGGAAATCCAAAGGTTAGTATTTGAATGCCCTAGAAATATAGCTAGAAAGATTTCATATGCCCTTTAACTTAATCTTAAAAGCCATCCAGTCAGCAACTGCCTGTTTGGTACGTGTGGTACCGGGTGTTCTCACTGCTAATCCCATACCCTAGGCCTCTACGGTCAAGCCATGAGGAACCAGAAATTTTTTACATACTAAATAATTGCAGAGGCCCAGCTAGTATTTAGTAGTCATTTAGTACCTGCTCATTATCTAAAGTAATTTTGGATGATCAGTGTCAATTGAGTGGGTAACAGCAAAAGCATTATCAAATGTTTCCTGTGTTTACACTCCAGGTCACTAATCCTGAAATAATGACTGGACCAGATCACAAGAGAGAGGGTGGCACACACTACACTGTGTACATGTGTGGCATATTCCTCCACTACAACAGTGATAACTGCACTTTGAAAACTTGTTTGTCAGACATGGCTCAGATCAAAATGCAACACAGCTTTTTTAATATTTTTTTCTTTAATTTGGCTGTGAAATGGAAATGATTTTAACAGCTTTGTCTATTTATTGCTTTGTTCTTCTCCCTCTGTGCTGCACTGTAAAAGAATGAACATGCCCTGAGAGAGCACTGAAGGTCAACTGGAACCCTGCAAATACATTAAGCAGCAGAGTAACACCAATATCAGCGGAACAGAGAAGTGGGTCTGACTTTTGGATCTGCTGTCAAGCTGTAAAGTAAGAGCAACCACTTGTTCTGTTTTACTGGGTTCTTCCTACTGTTTTCACTTCACATCGTGCTGTTTGCCCATTTTCAGTCCCTGCTCACTGCACAAATGGAAGCAGCGAGAACACTGGGGTCTCCTCTGTCCTTGTCTTTCAGGCCTAGGACTTTGCCCCTGGGTCGGTGAAGGTTTGCACTGGGACAGCTGACAGAGCCAGTGTTCCAGTGTTTGTGCAGGACAGCCAGACTGTTCATGGAGAGCTCTTAAAACTCTGCAATTTGCAATCCAGAGTTTTAAGATAAACTAAAATTAGGTTGAACATTTGTGCAGTCAGTGACACACAAGAGCTGATCTTATCAGCTGTTCCAGTACTGACCAACCCCTCAGGAGAAATTCCCACCTAGAGAAAGTGATCCATATTTGCTGATTTGAATAGAATAATACTCTTGTGTTATGAAGTATAACATCATAATGAAAAATGATGCTCTTATTAATAAATGACTGAATGTTTTTTTTGGATAAAATTAAAAAAACCCAAAAATATAATAACAAGCACAGGTTTTATTCTTTACCTTACTCTAATTTCTACTTTTTCTTTAACTACCTGATTTTTTTTAATCACAAGGTCTTCCTCTAGAGGTTTCTAGACAGTTTCTGGTTTTCGCCCCTCTGAATAGCCGAGCAGCAGCAGTTTCACATTCACCTAGGCTCTAAATCAGATTTAAGTAGGAGGTTATACATTACAGTTGATAACTGTTTCTTACTCTTTCAGAGCTGTTGTCTGGCATGTCATCTACTTGAGGACAATTGTCACTGTCTGTTCTGAAAACTTTTCACTGACACCTTACCTTGAACAGGTCCTGCAATATGTCTCTTTTTTTCATAGGACTTTGGGCATGAGAATCTCTAGTTCCTCAACTGTGAACATCGACACAAAAAAATTTCTAAGATAATTTATTTTATTTTAATTGAATAACTGATTTGTCATCTGTGGGGTACGTTTCACATTTAATCTAATAATTTTCATGTTCTTTTCTGTTTTCTGCATTTGGAAGCACCTTGTAGTCTCTCTCACTTCAGAGTAATTGTACACTTCATATGAACCTTCATAAACAGTTTGCAGACTGCTTGCAACTATTTGATCCTTTGATCACCTGTTATATCTCAGTAAGTTTGATTGTGTTCCCATAGTTCACCTTTTCATGTTTGTCACAGCCTGTAATGCTGAAACTGCAACAAAACAAAGACTTATTTTTTTTCCAGGCCATTTCTGTATGCTCCTTTGGACCAAATAAAGAGGTATTTCCCCTTGTGGGTTCTCCTCATGACTTAGTACTCCACACAGCAGTCATCACACTTACCCATTCTATAAAGGATGACTCAAGTATTCCATTAGTTATTTCCTGCCTTTGCAGATGCTCTAATCTCCTGCAGAACACCACAGCTTACAGTTGCTCTCCTCTTCAACAGTATAATTTAGAAGCTATACTCTTCCTAGTTTAACCCTGAAAGCTGGCTCTTCAAGAATTCTGTACTAGCAATGAATACAGAAAGCTTCTCTCATTTGACACTGCATTCTTCAAGGTACAAAACCATTCTACTTTCCTGTGTAAACAATCTCTTGTATTAGTACCGCACTATCTTGTGCCAAATATATAAAATACTCATTATTTTAGTTTTAAAAATGCCATGTTTCTCAATTGTATTTCTCACATGCCAATGTAAGCATGTTTCTCTTTAAGTTTGGGTCTCTGTCCATGTGCCCTTTTTAAAAGGGACCTGTTGGTGTACATTTCATAAGCCTAAGCTTGGGGTTTGCCAACCTGTGTGTTATTCTTTAGTTGATGAGACTGGTATTTGGGGGTTATTTTATTACTTAATTGAATTTTCATTTTTCAAGAACTTCTGCTTTTCAACAATTATTCTGAACCTACCAGAGCCTGAGTTGCACAGGATGTAGTCTAGAACACCAAAATAATCTAAGCTATAACTTGCAAATTACTAATCGTTTTGCTGTTTCAATATATAGGAACGTCAACTTAGGGTACAGAGTCCTTTCCCTACCTTTGCCATTCTGAATAGGAGCTACTTACCTTACTAATAACATTTTGATATGTAAGGAAAGCAGAACTAAATTTCTTGAAAGATGATAAAAGACCAGTGTGATTTATTTCAGTTTCACAGGCAAACTTAAGGTCAGTCTACACATGAATTGTGTGAAAGTTTAATTAAGAGCTTGATTACTTTACTGTTACTAATCCCAAATCTACTGTACACAGGTATTGCCCTTTAAAAATCAATGGGGAATGTAAAGCATGTTATATATCTTTTTTATATATCTTTTAATGTATGTGTATATGCATATATATTGGAAAAAAGGGACAATGTAGTTCTTTGGCATTTTAGGCATGTTTGTAATAGAGTGAAAAACACTTAAGTGTAAACACAAACAAGACCCATATACCATGCATCAACTTCTAACATTAGTATTTAGAAGAGTCGTAATGCATAATTATCTTGTTTATATGTGAAATAAAGAAGCTGAAATAATAAATCCAGATGTTCTTTCCCAATTACATGGCACATTCAACTTGAAATCTGGCTATAAATCTGTATTTCTAATACTTAGATTGGTGGTGTACACCACTGTATTCCATCTATTTAAATTGATATTGCTTCATCTTTTTAATAAAGAGAAACATTCCAAATTTATCAGGTAACTTATCTGGCCACTCTTTAACCATGTTCATATTTGGCTTAAGATTTTCATATCCTCTTTTTTGTTTTCCTAGATCCTACAGCAGTCAAGAAGTTCTGTGGCAGCTATACATACTTTGAGTGGAGGATTTTACTGAGTGACTGTACATCTGGTTCACAACTGCTGAATTTCCAACTATTTCAGAATACACAGGTGTCCAATTACAGTAATACTTCAGTATTACACAGCGCTTTTCACTTGTAGCTCATAAGACTATTAAAAGACTTTCCCCTTTCCTTTGTGCTCCAATTTCAAACATTGAAGCATTTGAGCAAGCAGACTCACCCTCTAGATTTTCCACATAGGAGTTGGACATGAATGCTGAATGTTGAGTCCATTTCTCTGTTGAACCTGATGGCTGGTATTCCAGGTCAGAGATAAAACTGTCTGTATCAGAGAAGAAGACAGACATAACTACTGACTGGACTAAACCAAGAAGTTACAGTTCACTCAACCAGGAAGTGATTTTCATTTTTCTTTTAATAGCACTAAATTTAAATACCCAGCTTCATTCACAACTACTGCGTAAGCCAACATAACTATTTATAAATTATCAGAGTGCTTACTAAAAATGGTATCATTTATCTTGTATACATAGTTACTTTTCAGTTAGCAACCATAAAGGTAATGGTTAATATTTTTGGATGTCTGCCTAGTTGTATCATCGTGATTTTTATACTACTTAAATTTGGTTTTAGTATTTGTATTAGTTTAAAACATTCCTCCTGCAGTTTTCTCAATCTGCTTTACTTACTGTTGCCAAATTAAAAGTGCTTGTTCCCCTTGACAGCAGCTCCACTGAACAAGGTAGACAAAAGAGTACTAGTAAATAAAACCTTTATTGTTATTTTCCCTATCCTTTAACCAAAAGAAACTGTCGCTGTACACAGCTGTTGGCTTCCTCCTTACTTGTCACACTGTCTGTACACTTTATCCAAGGTATTTCTCTGCAGTCAGACCACACACAGATCCAAGTGCCAGAATACCAAGTATTATCTTGGCACAGGTGACTCTCTGAGACTAAGGCCATGTGAGAAATCCCAGAGGAAGTGAAGAGCTGTGTGTCACTGAACTGCTTTTCCTGGAGAAAAATCAATGTCAAATAGTGTGTTCATTACTTTAACCAAGTGTGTTTTTATTCAGTTGTGATTGGTGGCTATGCAGAGCTTACAGCAGTGTATGGGGTTGGATATAGAGTGGTTTTTTCCTGTGCAAGACAGAGCTGCAAGTCTAATAAATTAGGTTTTAACACAATTAACAAAATTACTCTGGACCATGTCCAATTTGTGCCTTCTGGACAGAGGCACACACTTGTTTTGCCAGCATGGTTTCTAAGCCCTGCTTAGGGGTCACTCCCGGGAGAATGAATATACTCTTACTTCCTTCTGAAATTCAATCAGCTCAAATGACTTCTTTGGGTGACTTCTTATGCTTAATTGTTCAAAGTGTAAAGTTACATGTATTTAAATTGGAAGTGGAAAGCTTTATCCGGGTTTCAATGAAAATGTCCACTGCCACGGTGAAGGAAAGGAGTAGATTAAGGATAAATTCTTGTCAAATAACAGGAGATTAAGAAAAGAACATTTCTCCCCATCCATTATGGTAGAAACAGCAAGAAAGTGATATTTATTTAAAGATCTGATGAAACTACAGAGATGGGCAGGAAACTACCTCGAGATGAAACAAATTTACTTTTGCCAGCAACCCTCTTTAAAGGCACAGCTTTCAAAGGACCAGACAACAAACACTCTCAAAAAACCTCCAGAGAGAAAGTGCAGTTCATTAGCTCATAAAGCAACAGGTTCTGCACCATAAAGACAGCACAGCTTATACAGTAAGGATTATCTGTCACTCTAGCATGGAAACATGATTCTGAGCAGTTTTTCTAATTAATTTCATACTTAAAGGGATTCTGAGGTTCTTGTCTGCCCTAACAAAGCTACCAAGTATTGCCAGGTTTGCTTTTATCAACTCCTGACAAACTGTCATGTATGGCACATGTCTCCAGCCAGCACCTTCTAGAATGAAGCACGTGCGCTTGCCTTGAGCATACACTACTTGTCGTTTGTGAAACATGGTAAACAAAGCATCAGCCTTTTCTAGTGTGTTATGTAGCATAAGGGGTTTGATCAACACGCATGTAAGTTAGATAGAACTTGAGCTACCACATAAATATTCATTAAAAATACCTTTCTACCTCATAATTTCATAAACATTTGAGAAAGTTTTTTACTTCTTAAAGCATCACTAAAATGTGTTCTTTAATGAAAGAATATAAAACCAAAATTAAAACTATTAAATTGAAACAAAAATCAAGAAAGCTGACACCCTTCAGATCTGTTTAACTCATCAAAAATTCATATTTTTATGAATGACTTCTTTGTCTTGGCTCATCCCTTAAGTAAAGAAAGGTTAAGAAAAGCTTTAAACCTTCAATTATCTGCACCAGATTTGGGTCAAAGCAGGAAGTCAACTTAAAATTAGAGCTCTGTTCCGGATACAGGCAGACCAAAAGGCTACTGGAGTTATACCATTTGATTTTCAAGATCTCTTCCTACAGAAGTCAAGTAAATTCCTTTTTTATAGCACTATCTGATTAGAAGTTTGGCCTGTGTATCCTACTGAACTGAAGTAGGATGTGTGGGCAATGGGACTTAAACCTAGGAGATGTACTGGTTTTAGAAAAGTGGATTCCAAAAATATTTTGGGATAGGTGATTGTAGTGTAGCTACAGTAAGTAACAGTTTCTTAATATGCCCCACAAAAAGAAGTTGATACAATCGTTTTGGTGTGTTTAGGGGAGGGCTGAGTGAATCACTCTACTAACAGAGGCAACAAGGACCAGTAAACCTCAAAGAACTCTATGGACAGACTGCAGCACCCATTTCCTCAGACACAGGCCTTTGTTGTCAACTCCAAACAGAACTCTATCAGCGGCATTTATGTGAAGAATCCCTGTAACTACATCACATTGCTCATTGCAGTATATTTAGCCTGGTTTTGACTCCACATGACCAGCAAGTAATACAGTGTCAACTTTCCCTAACAACAAAAAAGAAAGAGCTGCCAGGCTATAATTAACCCTCAGTCCTCCGTGCTGTGGAGCAGCCACAGCTGATTTTGCTGGTTTGACACCGAACCAGTCATATGCCAAGCCATGTCTGCTACAGCAAACCACCAAGGACATGGTGGGCTGCCTTACACATCACCATTCCAAGTCATAGGCCAGGTTGCTTTTAATAATTTCAGGTTTGATGCCAACTTTACTAAGAAGTACTACTTTTTTATTAACTGACAAAATAAGGCTGCATGAAATTCTGGAGGAGTGCAGTTTTTGTGTGCACATAACGCTTATAGCTGTATAGATAGGCTGCGGGTGCCTGCAGAGTCACAATACAAGTTCTGCAGTTATGTGGTACAGTAACAAATACCTTGTTCATGTCTTGGTCATGATGTCACACTCTGCATTTCCATATCCTGTTAAACCCATCTCCCTTAAGTCATGTTTACCCCCTTCTCTCACACAAGGAGAGAGATGAGTCCGACCCAGGATTAAGCGTGAGCCTTGGTGCTGGAGGACATGCGCTGTGCAATGGAAAGGAGTGCTGAAGTGTCTCAGTGTATTTTTGCAGTGTCACAAGGCTGCTGAGCTCCTTCCAGCTTTGCTGCTATGCCAGCACCTGCACCACGATGCAGACATGCCACTTGCTCTCATGGAAGAAGTTTCTAACCTAATCCCTAAATGGAAATATTTTTGCAGTGGTGCAATGAGTTGAGTTTACTTTGCGTTAATTACAAGATGTCCTGTGGCTCTCAGAGGGAGAGCTGATCAGACACCTGAGGATTTAACTGACATTTTTACGAATCAGAAGTCTGTAACTGGTCTTCTCAATAGATGCCTTGCTGTCACAAATTTTATGGACACAATGAATCCACTAGAAGATATGGTAATAGCATTCTTCAACTGCTGACAAGCTCTGATGGATAACACTCTTCACCTTTCCTCACCAACCTTTTGCTTTTAAACCACTGGTCAGTCTGGATCTTTACCCATGTTGGGCATGCTGCAAGATGCAATGTTTTGTTCCATGCTCAGGAGAGAGTAAAACCACCTTCGATTTAAAATGTACATCTCAAGTTTGAGCTGCACCAGCAAGACAACACGTTTTTGAGTTGCTCTCCTCCATACTAAGCTAGACTCTCGCATTCAGTATTTTCTGTGTTTCTTCACTGCTCCATTTGGCAGGACACTGCCTTAATTAAGAATGACTTGTTATTGCATAAGTTTTAAATATAGACAGAAATACAAAGTACATTCATTCTACAATATTTTCTTATTAATTACTACTTTGATTCTCCAGAAATTAAGTTGAAGCTACAGTAAAAAGCAACCTGTAATGATGTACACATTTTCTAGCCAAGATCAGAAGAATCTGAGCTTCTCAGTAAGAGACTTTATCAGCTAGAGAGTCATCACAGAACTACTAAAATGAATGAATGCTAAAATTCTACATGGAATATGGCTGAGAAAGAAGACTTATTGCTTTATATATACACAAAATGATTAGGGGATTTCTAGTTATGATTTATAGTAAATCCACATACTGGATTTTCTAATCTCCAGCTTTATATAATGAGGATGCAATGAGTAATGAAATGTAAGAGGATTAGTAGAAGGTCATCCTGATTTGCTAAATACAGCCTAACGCAATACCTTCAAAATGGTTAAATACAGTTGTACATGCTGGAAATCTCATCACTGTAGAAAGTCATGAAATCCAAGGTAAACGCCCTCCTAAACTGCAAACCACAAGATATTAAATTTTAGATCAACAGTATTAGAATAGATTTAAATCTAAAACGTGACAGTGGGATAGCTAAACCACCACATTAGGAGCACTTTTTAAAATCAGAGTGAGGGGAAATTATTAAGGCCTCATCATATAACTAGACTGAGTCTGAGTAGCTTTTTTTTCAAGGGGGAAGAAATGGGACCTTTATTAGAGGAATATGCAGCAGAGCACAGTATGGATGATGGGTATGGGAAAGGACAGAAATGACCAGCTGCCTGTTTCCTGTCACTGCAGTTGCCTTGTTTACACCTATTTGCAGCCCTAAACATTCCACTGTCTATCCAGGGAGATGTTAACCTGGGGTGTTGGGCAGAGGGCTGACTTGCTGAATGACATTGAGGGTAAAAAGGTCCAACAACACATCAGGGGAGAGAAAAAGCAGAGGGGACAAATAAAGTGTAAGAAGTTGCTTGTACATAATTCTGGTCTGAAAGTTTACCAGTTTGTACAGCCTGACTACTGCAAAGACCTAAGTGAAAAGAGTAGTTTTTCAGAACACATTTGAAGTAGTAACATACAATAAATATTACTTTGAAATTGTGTTGTTTCAAATGTTTTCTGTAATATAATTTGAATTTCATATCTAGGTATCCTCATGCATTTTGATCTCTCATTTCTTCAAGTGAATTAGAAAGTGTTTCCTGCAGGAAGCAAAAACAGGAAGAGAAGCAACAAAGCAGAATAGCAAATTCAAGGTGGAGATTAGAGAAGTCAAAAGGCATCAACAGGATCCTGTTAAAAAACAAGATAATGAAGTGTCACACGAACTTCAGTATAGGAAAAAAAAAGGAAAAAAGTGTCTTTATACAGGCACACAGGTGTAGGATCTGCTTTCAAATTATGTAATCCATGTTCACTCATACTCTGAACAGAGCCCAGCTTGCTCTGACTGGTAAAGCAATAAATAAAATATAAAAAGATGCTCCACTGGTCACTGGCAAACATCTTGGACTTTGCAGGGAAGCTGTAAATGGTGATGTCAGATGTGTTACATCTTTCAGGAGATGCTGGATTAAGACTAATCCAGATGGTTTGAGCACTAATGGGTGAAGCAGCTTTGTAGTTCTGTATTAGTGGATTTGGAGGGATTTTTGGTGTGTTTTGAAGAAAACACCTAAGTTTGGCTGAAGAGGCAGCAAGATTCACTTTTAAGAGTCTTGCTTAAAGGAATTTATGTAACTACTACCCACACTGCCACTTCTGGAGGTGGGGTGGTGGTGTTTTGGTGGGGATTTTAGTTTTGTTGGTTTTTGGGTTTGTCTTTTTTTCCCCAGTTTTGTGGGGGTTTTTTTGTAGTGTTTTTTGGTTTTAAAGAATTTTAAATCATATCCCGTCAAGCTATACAGGAACTCCAGGACTTTGTCATGAGGTAGCGCTTCCATACTGCACTGAAATTTTGTAAAATATTTTTAGAAATATTCTTTGGCAAAGAAAACATCTACTATTTTTAAATAGTGCGTGTTACTTAAAAGAAAGAAGATAATTTATGCCCTCAGAGGTTTTTTTTGAATTTGTTTACTTTAAGACTACTGACTGAAATACATGTCAGTAATCCAGACATGATTTAAAGAATTTTCAATTGGCTTTGCCTCAGTGTTTTGAGGGGTTTATTTGCCTTAATTTGTAACCCTTAAAAACCTATTTTCCAACTAAATATGGTTTTCATGTTTAATGTATTAGCTGGGAGAACATACTTTATCAACATTCATTTCTGTATGTAATTATGTTTGGATGTTTTTCTTTAATTGTTATAACATTATTGTAGAATAACCTATTTGCTATTTGTGCCTGTCTCTCTTTGTACAGGAACTAAAATTCAGATAGACACAAAAGAAGAAAAATTGAAATTATTTTTTAAACCAAAGTAATACGTTAGATATATTATTTTAAAAGTGTTCTTGTCTAAACATGTGGTGGTTTTTTTTGTTGTTGTTTGGGTTTGTTTTTTTTTACTTCAAGCTGATTAAGCAGAGGAAGTATTCTCTCATGTTGAGAGAACTGAGTAGTTCTATAGGACTTTTGGAACAGCAGGTTTCAGATCAGACATCTGATTTGTATTTGTTGATTGGAAGCGAAAAAAAATCCCCAAGCCCAACCCCTAGGCATGGCAGGAGCACGGAAGTGAAAAGCAGAGACTCTCTCTGCTTGCAAACCTATTGCTGCAGCCAAGTGCTATTTATCATTTAAATCCATGTTCAATTTTCCATATAGAAAGAGTCTTGTTTAATCACCAGTAATCAGAAATTCTTTAAATTTCCATAACAATCATCATTTTAAAAAAGAAATTAATAAAACTGTGGCCATTTGACTCACAAGTATATTGATTATATTTCTCTAAATAATTAACAAGTGGCCATGTTTGAAGTGTGGCTATTACAGCTTTTCCTATGATTTGTCTGTCTGTCTTTGCCAGCACAGAAACAACTCAGTAATGTCAGTGTGTTAAGCAATGGAAATAGTTTCTGAAAGTAACTAATATTTGTGATGTAGGCAAAAAAACTGGCTTTCTTTTTACATTTTAATTTCTGAACAAGTATAAACAAACTGCCAAGATGCTCATAAATGCTAAACACTTCTGCTCACACTGTGAACAGTCTAACTACAGTATCTAGTTGTATTTTATTTATTCCTACATCTTTTGTTTGTGGGTGTGGAGAGAAGAAGGATGAGAAAAAAAGTAGGTTCTAACCTGACATGTCCCGAAACATTAGATTTCTTTCTCAGTCCTCTATACAGAAGTAGAAAATGCTACTTTTTTTGCTGCATGCTGTTTCACAAAGCCTTGCTCTCCTCCCCTCAGCAAGTCCTTGACAGAATCAGTCTCTTCCTTCTTTTCTAAATAAAGTTAAGTTGATTGATAAACAGTGTTTCTAAAAAGAGAGTTTTGTTTAATTAAGGTGGCCACTGAACTGAAAGCCCAAGTGTATTGGTTTCTCTCATTTTCTACCTACCGTGCCATGTCTTTGAAGGCATTTCCTACTGAATTTTGTTACTACTGTCTGGAGGTAACAATAGCAAGGCTGCATTTATGCAAGGAGCTGGGACTGACATGGATATTTAACAGATCGTCTACACTTAAATCTTTATACTACTGCTGATGCAATTAAGTAATTACTAGGGATGGTTAAAAAAACCCCAAGCCACAACAGTAAAGGCTGTTGGAGAAAAGAGACACTAGTGAGATTCCCTTCATCAATACCAAACACATTTTATATGTCATTTAAGGTCAGGCCCTCTCTTCTTCCAGCCTTATTAGAGTGACATGTTCCATAAATGGCTTTGCATCAACATCTCCAATAGTCTGATGTTTGGGATTGGATATTTCTTCTTTTTTCAGTTGGTTGGACAAGTTTTGTAAGTTACACTGTCCAAGTATTTAAAGTACAGACATTTACAGCCTGCCTTTAGCACGGAAACGTCCTTGTTCTGTTATGTTCAACAACTGAATTTCTCAAGAAGTAGTCAGCATGGAGAAAGCAAAACAGCCACTGTGAGCAGAGGTGCTGAATGACAACAGTGCATCTAAGGAATGTCTGTGAGGAGACTGAGAGAGTGCCAAAATGCATGTGATAGATTTTCAAAACACTACCCTGCCCTTCAAAACTGGGACAACTCCCAAACTACATCTATGCAACTTAGATATTTTATTATGACTTTCACTGAAACATATCAATGAGACAACCAGAAAAGGCTTCAAATTAATTCCTTGAACATAAGGTGTCAATGTGTAGGAATTAATCCTCCAGTCTTGTTTTATGACAAAAACAAATTCTATGGGCAAATTAGACTAAAACTCTTGAATTGTATAACTACAAATTTACAGATGATACAGTTAGTTTTAAATAAGTTGTTGCTTTGGACAACACACAAATATGTGACTCCATTTTGATAATACAAATTTCCTTCCATGAAGAGGAGTGGATTCTAAACCAAACAACCCTCACACACACACTTTGTAGTTTAATGTAGATTATATCCCAGTATTAAAATATTATACCCACTTACCATCATCTAGTGTGATGTCTTGTAGTCCTATGGTTTGAAAATTCAGCTCTCTATCCTCAGGTTCAGGTTTAATGTTAATAGCTGCCCCATCGGGTGCAAACGGAGATGAGTCGCACACGGAGTGGTGCCTGAGGGGTGACACAGCGCTGAGAGCCCCCAGGGCAGGGCTGGGGGCCTGGGGAGAGTGCTGGTCTGAGTGACTTGGGGGTGGGGGGGATGAGGTGGGTCCCGAGCTCGGAGACTGGTAGGGCACAGGCTGTAGCTGGGGGGAGGAAGGTCCAGACAGCGGTGAGTGGACCAGCGGGTGGGAAGCTGTTGGGGATGGGGATGAAGCAGATGCCGGATTTGTAGAATGGTATGGGACTTGCTGCAGCTGGGGAGAAGACTGCCCAAGGGAGCAACCCATTGCAGAAGGGATGGAGCCCTGCCCAGTGCTTGGGCAGTGGTATCCCATTGATGGCAGGTGAGCAGACGGCTCTCCGGAATGAGCTGGATGTGCCAGTGGGTGCCCTGCTGTACTTGATGTTGACACAGAACCTGGATTTGAAGAATGAAACTGCACTGGTGGTAGAGTTTGGCAGTCAAGATTTATCAAATGAGGTACAGCTGTGTCTTGCGGAAATGAAATAGCATCAAATCCTTGGCTGGAGACAGAGTTCATAGGAAGACCAGACTGTCCATTGTACACATTATTAGACTGCATAGGCGGGTAAGAAGGCCTCACAGGAGGTGCTGATGTTACCTGAAAAGACTGAACCACAGCAGGAGGCAAAACATGACACTCTTCACTTGGACTAAGGTTTCTACCTTGCATATGTGGCAGGTGGGACACTGCTGAGGTCACCATTGCTGTATATGGTGGTTGAACGGGACACACAAGGCTTCTGGGTGATGTAGACAGGAAATTGTCATGTGGGTGCCCTTGCTCTGGTGAAGGCAGCTGAGTTCGGATTGAATGCAGGCCCTGGACATTGCTTGTGTGTGGCAGGGCCAGAGATGGAACAGCAGACAGATCCACCTCATCTCTGTGCTCTTGCTTCATTATAACTAGAAAAAGTAAAACAGTTTTACAATTCCAACCCATCTGTATCCTGTGATAAATACACACCAATAGCTGTTTAACAACCACAATAGCACTGTTAGTGTCGTTGCTGCAATCTCCCTTCTTTTACTCTGCTTTCATCTTGTTTGGCTTCATGCCTGTTATATTAACCCAGAGAAGCCAGAACAATTCTTCTAGCATGTATTCAAAGGTAGTTATCTTCCCTTCTAACACACCCTCCTATGTAATGTATGTTTTTAAAGACATTTGCAACCCAGTTAGAGAAAGTCCAGTACATCAAAAGGATGCACCAGAGAGACCAGGGGGCTGCTGCTGGGCACCACTGAAAACAGGCAGATGTGCATTCAGTATCAGGCACTGGCAAAACATGAAGGAAATCTTTAGCAGGCTTCAAGCTTTCCTTAGCCTCTGATCACTATGACAGCTGAACTTTGGCAATACAGAAACTACTTTGAGTAGTGCACGTTGTTTCAATTACAGCAGCTCTTTCAGCACATGCCTCAACTTCAATGATGGCAACAACTGTTCCTATAATACAGAGTTACAAAATGACACACTTTCAATTACAGGTTTGGGTTTTTTAAACTCTTGATAGTCTCATGAAAAGATACTGATCTTAAGTAGTAGAAGAATGCTAACACTTAACAGTTCAATTACTACTTTATAAAGCACAGTTAACCAAATATTGAAGTTTAATGAACTCTTACACATACATAGATAATGTGGATTTTAAAGTGTTTGTGTAATAACAGCTGCAGTTACAATTAAAATTGCTTCTTCTGTAGGTAATAAGTGTCATTACTTCATTCCACCATTTAAATAATTTAAATACAGATTTCTCAAACAGAGGTATAGTTTAAGATGTGTAACTATCTTAGGAGTTGATACTCTTAAAAATAGTTGAAAATTACCAGAAATCTGGTAACAATTAATATGTACTAGGCATACCAGACATCTAAAGTACTGCCTACATTACACATGAAGGTATGAAGAGGGTAATTTTAGAGCACAACAAGTGAGCGCAACTTATTTTCAATTGTGTAAACTCATGGAAGTTGGCTTTGTCAGCATATACACTGGCTTCGAGAAGTTTATATTAATATCCATATCCAACTTTAAAGACTCCTTTAGATATCTGGTTTCAAGTGCTCCAAGCAGAGTCGCCACCATCACTGGTTCCCTGGGAATTCTGACTGCTCTGAATGGGTGTGCAGTTCTTAAAGGAAAAGGTGTGCAGTTCTTCTTTCTTAAAAGAAAGTAAGTGGCAGGTGAAGAAGCAGGCATTGCATGTCTCATAGCAACCACTTCCACATCCAAATAGGAGGGATTAAGATGTTTTAACTACACTTACAGCTAACACGTCCCATTTTCACTTCTGGCTAAGTTACAAACTATTTTCTCTCAGTAAGCTGTAATGTGTCCAGAGTGGGGGGAAAAATATTTTCATCTTCCTTGTATCTAAACCTGAGTGGGTTTTTTTGACATTTCAAAAGGGCAAAAAAAACCATAAACCTGTTCTTTTATGATCTTACTATTCTCTGTGTCATCACTAGAGTTATTTAAAGAGTAGCTTCTGAGATTCATCATCATTCTCAAAGAAAAGCAGAATGCAAAAATTATTCTCTAGAAAATGTAATGAAGAAATACCTGGCTGTAATCATAGTACTGGAGCTTACTACTCTATGTTTCCGCTTTTTAATTAGACAACCAACCTTTAGAAGTTGTTTTATAGCCAATTCAAAGGTAACTTATGTACCGATCAAAGGGACATGACTATCTGAGTTTCTTTCAAATGTCTACTTTAAAAGCAAAATAAAATAAAACTTCTGTGTTTTTCATTTGATACCTGGTGTATAAGTAAAACGTTGAGACTGACTTTTCTTCCTCTTGCCATTGCAGAGATAAAACTGCACCTGAACTGCAGCTGTAATGGTTTTGTTATGGTATGGAGGAACTTCAAGTACGATGTTTGCCTACAGGAAACAAAAAAGTTTTCCGTATCAAATGCACACTGGTATTAATTATAGAAAAACTAAAACACATTGCAAAATTAAAGCACCCTAATATTTCGAAATTGTCAAATTTCAAATCAATACACATTACATAATAAAACAGTACTATAAGCAAGTTTTTATTTGGAGACTTTTCTCCCTTTAAACGCGAGTGCTCCAAAGATAAATGCTTTAATTAAATAGACACATCATCTAAAGGATGCTTTGTTTATTTGCCAGAGCATAAAAAACCTCTAGCAGTCAAAGAATTGCATTTTGGATCATTAAGCTTTTAAGAAAAATTTTAATGCACTGGAAATAATTTGTCATCTTCATAAAATTAAGTTTCCTTTTTTCGGTTTTCAAATTCCTTTTTCATTGCTTTCACAAAAAGCATGCTATTTCCAGTTCCTTCAAAGCATCATCTTAATGGCTACTTTACAGTGTTAAGCCAATTTAGAAGTCTCCCATTGTCTGTCTGAATTAGCCAGTGATCTACTTGCTTTACTAAATGAAGTCTAAATTTCAGATCAACAATGAAAACGTCTATTTTCTCATTTAATAAAAATAAGCTTTCTAAAGTAAGAAAAGTTGTTTCTCACCCCTTGACACTTTTCCCTAATTATTATCCCTTCTACCTCCCACTGAGGTCGTCCATCTGTTGAGAGAAATTTAGAAATAAATCAAGCAAAAAGCATTTTCTAATACATGTAAATAATTAATTAAAAAAAATACTTATTATAAAACTGGATTTCTTTTCAGTCATAAAGAGGCCGTTTAAGCAATAGACATCTATTGTAAAAGAAGTGTGAAGTATAGAGCTGCTTTCAGATTCTCAACACTACAACCATTGTAAGCTGACTGTTGTGCAGGATTCTGCATTTAAACCCAGTAGATTCCATACAGTAGACTGAATTCCAAAAGAGGCAGTAGGCATTGTTAAGTGTACAGAGTGTTTTTTACCCTATTTTTCTAAAAACGTTTTTGAGAGGTAGTTGAATTGCTACTAACACTTGTAGTTATTCAAACATGCTGATGACTTAGGGGTTAAGTCACCACGCAAGAGATAACATAAGCCACACCTCTGTGCCCTGACCCATGGGTTATATACATTTACCACAAACACCTTCCCCTGAACCCACAGACCCTGTAGTTCAATTGCTGGGCAAGTTGTCTGTGTTGGGAGGGAAGTAAATCACCTGGTGAACGTCTTTCTGCTCTGACCTGGCATAATCCATATCCTTAACTGAGCACTCGACTCTGTCACTGGGTTTTGTACAGGGTATCAGGGAACCAGTAGCAGCAGTGTTTCTATCAAAGCTGTTCAAGCACACTGATCAGTGCCCAAATGTAGTTTCAGATTACTATTCAGGACTTTTTTTTCTTTTTAAAACATCATTACTTCTTAAAATCAAATTCAGATAGTGCTTTTGTTCTGAAGAAAAAAAAAGAGTAAGACATTACCTTGTCCTTTTTCAAAAAATATAATTTTGGATTCTGCAAGAAAATTGGATCCTGTCACCACCATTTCATGACCTCCATTTACCGAGCAGCTATTGATGCTGTACTTCTCAATCTGAGGAAGTTCTTGAGCAGATCGCTGAGCTTTAAAAAATATTAAGGAAAAAATTATTATGCAGTTTTGATCATGATATTTATTTTATGATTCTAACTTGAAGAATCAGGGGTGAAACTAAAATGACATCTATCTGCATACACAATTCATATCTGTGTATGATTTATCTTTGTTTTAAAAATCATGTTTAAATTACATAATTACAGAAAAGAAACACCAAGAAGCCAGGAGTCTCAACAGTCTCTATTGTTACAGCAAATGAAGTTTTTAGTTTAGGAATACTGGTTTAAAAATTATTTTAGTATTTTCTAGACAAAATGAATTCTAGGGGAAATTGAGATTGTTTGAGGTCGTGTCTTGATTCCTTAGTGCTAGCATTTAACAAGTGAACTCTCCAGAACTTCAGCTGTTCACTAGATAATATTGTATAAAGACAAGTAATGGTATAGACTCTTGTAAATTAAATGGTATCTAGTTCTACCTGGAATGAATATTTTCTCTGAGATGAATCAGCTGCCCCCACTCATACAGAGGAACTCCTGAAGCTGCTGTGTGACTGCACTATAAGGTATTTTTCCTCTAAACCTTCAGGCTACCACTTGGCAAGAACCGTATTTAAAGATACCAAAAATTGAGGTAATTGAGCTTTTATGCACAATGCTTTTCACACTTGTTATACATAATTCTGGCAATAAATATTCTCAGAATGACAATACTACTGACATATACAGAAAACATGAGTATAAATTATATATAGTTAGAGCAATCTTACAGCATTCAACAGGGATGGAAGCAGTCTGCAGAGATAAGACTTTTCCACTAGGCTGTGGGATGTGAACACGGAACACAAGTCGCACTCTGGTGTTCTTCCTTCCAATATCTGTCTCTCCTTTACGGAGCTCTATGTCTGAATTGCGAAGCTTCAAAATACCAGCACAATCGATACTGCAGGATGGAGAGGATGGACAGATGGAGCAGAAGAGAAATGGAAGAAATTGAATCAAACTATTGACAAAGTATACTCTGTAAGCCTTTCTTTTGTTAAAGAATGAAGCGTGTTTTATGTTTTCCCCATGTTATGTTGCTTTAAGTGTTATTTTAAATGTCTGAGATTAAAAGAAGTTAGTGTGAAAATGGCAGCAAGCACTCTGTTGAAACATTTTGTCTTGTAAATGTCTAAAACTGCTGCTTTTTCGAACTTTTAAAAGATTATTTGATATTGCAGGTTGTCTAACTTTCCAAGTAACTTATTTAATATAGTAAACATCATTTACAAAAAGCAAGAGACCTATATTTAGTTCTGCCTTAGGAAGGAGTAGGGAATGACAAAATGCATCCATCAAATCCCAGCTCCTATTCCACGCAGTGGTCAGTTATTCATATGAGACACACATACCTCCATCAATTAGCAGGTAGGCATGAGAGCTTCCCTGCCTCTCTACTCCTTTACTTCTGACTACCTAAACACTGGTATGTTTTAAGAGACATGTCTATCTTAATCGTGACCCACATTTGTTGAAAATATATTGTTCTACATGACTTTTCTTTCACCTTTGCACAAATGAAGAAAAAAAAAGACACATAGCAACCAAACAGCTGATTTATGGAGTGGTGTACCTGGCTGACATATTATTTTCAGGAAGAAGTGGAATTTCCAAAACTTTGGTGCTGGCAATGATTATCTCTTGACTGGCTGTCGCAACTGTTTTCCCAGTGATTCGGTGCACCTGGTAGAAGGCGTGAGGCCGTAGGTATCGATCATCCGCTGTCCCAATGAACATTTGGAGGTTCACAGGCTTTTCACTGTAGCCCAGGAGCTGATGGAAAAACATATTAGTTGACTTCTACTGCATTTGTGTGTGCAATTCTTCAGCAATCAGAAAACTGAGTACAAGTATCTGTCCCCGAAGACAAGTACTGGCACCAATTACCAGAACAAATGGATATTAAAATACCATTGTTACTATTTTAAAATCTTTCAAAAGAATTGCTCAATCTACAGAATCTTGACATCAAAGCTACGCTATGTTATAGGTCTGTTTCTGAGGTGGTTTTTAAACAAAGTCTAATTATTAATTTTACTAAGATGCACCAAGATTCTAGAAATACTAAAATATTTTTGTTTTTCTACTATGAAATTGGAATAGCAACTTTTATTAAACATAAGAGGTTTTGTGAATGCAAATGTATCACGTTAGGACTGAGAAAATATAATTAATAGCTGGAAAATCATGTGTGGTGTATTTTTGGTAAAGAAAATATTTTAAAAACCCCAAATTTTGCAAATATTGATTCATACATCTTTCCTTTTCTTAAATACACATATAGCCACCAACACGTTCAGTTGTCATAAAACCACCTCTTGTTTGAGCTAACAGCAATAATTCTAGGCACAACACATTGAAACATCAGAAAAAATAATAAATTGATTCTAAAAAAAAAAAAGTTCGTTTTATGATAGTACATTGGTAACATTATCCAGGAGATTTAAGGAAACAAGTGTAGCCAACAGTAACACCAAGATTTCCTTTAGACACTGCAACTTTAAAACTGAAGCCTATAAAATATTTCTTATAAAATCATTTTACTTCACCTTTCTGCAACTGGCAGATTGATGCATGATGCAAGTCATATAATTTCTAAACGACACTGGAGCAAATTTGCATTCCATTGACTTTGACATCAACTTATGTTCAAACTAGAGGGAGGGCCACACAGTCATTCTTTAAACGTGGTTTTGTCACGTCAATATTTATGTCTCTAGGGAGAGTTATTTGGTCACACAACAATATTATCCAAGCTCTTTACAAAACTAACACTTAAAAAACAAACAAAACATGTCAATTTAACCTACTCAGAAGAGTAATTTAATGCCAGTAGTCTGCAGCACAAAAGCCCAAAGCACACCCACACCAGCAATCAGAAGTCCCACTGTTGGTGCACTTACTCCTGGCAGGAAGTTTTATGGGTCAAATGAATGCCTGGTTTATATATTCAAATTATGGCTTCAACAGCACCTACCAGACCCATCACTTTTATTAGAGCTTTCTCAAACAAAAATAGAAATTTGGTTTCCGACAGAAGTCTGGAAAGGCTTTGCCAAATATGTAACATCTTTTTGTTCTCCCTGGACTTCGCAATACAAACAGAGTTTAATCCAGTTAAAAAACACCCAACAAACCAAACCAAAACAACCCTTCTGACACTGAGTGGAGACAGTCTAGATTAGCAGAGGTACTTCCCATGTAAATAAGTGCGATAAACAAGAATTTATAAAGGTTGCAGTAGATATATAAATAATCTCCTGTGGCCATCAGTGTACTGAGGTTTCTCTCCGTTCATCTGTAACTACCGGAACACAACAAGAAACTCTCCTCTTAGTGTTGGAATGAGAGTGGATTATAGAGGCTGTTACATCAATGAAATACAGACATATGCACAAGTTCCTTTTTGTACTTCATGCACAACTCCAATGTCTTTTCAAAAGATTTTTTTTGTTGTTAAATACCAAATGAATATTTCAGTATTTTCTATTAGTTTGAATTATTTTATGACATGTATTAGTTTAGCATTTACAACAGCCACCTTGTCACCTGTTCTCAACACTGTGACTCCACCATCCATTTTCCTCAGAGTTAAAATTAAATCTTAACAGAATGGAATCCAGTCTAGATGTGACGTTAGTGTGTTCACTCCAGTACTGGGAATTATAAAAATTACAAGCCAGACCTATTCAAAATTTTGACTAAGTTCCAAATGCGGTCACTGTGACAAAGCTAATTTCCAATTAAGGTTATTTTCCCCTTCCCAAACAATGGTCTGTACACAGCAGTTCTAGAGATACTGGTGATATGAGAGATAAGGAGGGGAGGTGGGGATACTTGCAAAACTAAGCTGGTCTGTCTACAGTCCATGGAGAAAACATCTTCTACAGAAGCCTACACAGAGCAGTAGTTTAATTTAGGGAAGTGAAACATTCCCCATGCCAGCAGTTGCACTGTTATTGCCTGTGAGACTCTATGGCCATATACACTTGAACTGCTCAAAGCCATATCTAATACTAGTTTTCCCTCCATAATTCTTGACCCTCTGTGCTCACCCTGAAATCCCATTATGGAATACAGGGCCTGGTTTATGCAAAGCATGTTGTGGGAAAGGCAAGTCTGACAAAAAATGCCCACTCCACCACAGTTTAGTTATATATCAATAGGTTACCATGTGCATTTGCTGTAGGATGCTCTTGTGATGCCAGCTTGTGTGCTTGAGTCATACAGCATAGCAGTACACCACTGTATCAAAGCAGACATTTGAAACTATTTTACTAGTTTCAGAAGAAGTAAAAACCCCACAAGACTACCACAGTATCACCTTCAGCTAATTTTCTTCTGCTTTACATATTAAATTAAATGAAAAACAAGATGCCCCACGAAGACTACAAGGAAAGTACTGTAATGCAACAGAATACACTTTTATAGTAATTTAGAAGAAATCAATGCATTTTATAATTCTGAAGCATATACATAAGGTACCCCAAGAATTATCTGTAATAACATCAGGACAAACCCCATGAAATTTCATATATACTTAAAAGCCATGCTAGTGCAAACCAGTCCCAAAACAAACAAAAAGCCAACAAGGTCTCCCCTGACCTAGGTCAATTAGATGCTTCCATTATAGCTTTGTCTCAAATATAATTGCTGTAAAGGATCTGCAATGATGTCCTCTTAAAGGTATTGGAGTATACATAAATACGGTTAGGTAGAGAGTAGTAACACATTGGCAAGGTAGCAGAGACTTCAAAAATGTGTACTTTGCATTGCAGATAATTTATTGTATTTATTCAAGGTTTAAAGTAAAAAGAGAAAAAACACTGTAAAACCATAAATATAAACCATGTGTGCAATACATGTGGCAACTAAATAAGCTAGGGGTGGGGAAGAAGAGAATAACCCCTATTGCCCACAGCACAGAGTACAATTCAGGGTCTGATTGCAGTAACAGGACCACATTAAAGGGAAACATATCCCAGCCTTAAGCGGGCAATGAACAGGTTGCACAGTGTCCTCATGTTCCCAACAGCCCTATTTACAGCAAAAAGTCAGTAAGCCTAATTGGCTGTGGATGCTACTGAGACAGCCTGATGTGCTAGTGAAACTCGGGGAGCTGGAGAGACTGTCAAAAAAGCGGATAAAAACTCCTCAACCTTTATATTACAAATTTGTGCTTCAGAATTAACATTTTCCTGTAAAACCTTGTGTAATAAGCAAGCTGACAACTCCAGGCATGCCACGGATTCTGCAAAAGTCAATCAAAGATTTACAGTGTCTGTAATCAAAGATAAGAGTATGTGGGGGCCAATGAGCCAAAGCTTCAGTAGAAAATGATCCAATAGCTCATGGAGAGAATGCCCTGCACATCCCATGTAGCTTCTCTTACATAATCACTCAAAGACCACAGTGAAACCAATACACTGTGTAGCACAACAGAATTAAAGACATGTCACACCATTCCTGAGAAGAGAGGACAGTGCTGGATTACTCTGTTAATTTACCTGGAAGTTCCCCCAGTATATCTAACTAGAGGTGCATTCAGCAGTTTGCTGAAGGGTATCGAAGTGTTCTGAAATCCATTCTATGGCTAATCCTTGTGAGAGCAAGCCTTGGATGTCTCTCTCTATGCAAAACCTGTACAAAATAAGTAAAGCAGAACTTTCTGCCCACCACACTTGGTCCCTGCTGGAGACCAAATCATCATAGGATCTGAACTACCTTCTGTCTCCTAGGAATGGTGTCATCTCTCCTCCATTTAAAGAAAAATGGTATTTGGAGCCTGAATTGACATTACTGATGCAATACCTGTCTTGTGAATAACAAAGGAGACTTACTACCCCAAATCAACTTCAAATCAGGAAAAATTACATATTTTGGAATTTAAAACGCATTCCTTTTAAATACGATTTTGTTCTCATTCAAAAAAATGTTGATTGTTCTTCATTTTATTGACAGCAGCGTTATTACCTCATCTGCTTTATGCCCAATTCTGTACGTTAAACAGCCGAAACATTTAAGTCAGCAGAACAAAATTCCTAATTGTTTTCCCATGAAAATACCTACATAATTAACTTGAAAGAACATACACTATGCTTAGTTCAAATACATAATGAAGACATGGTATACAAACCTTTATTTCACCTTAGGAAAGAAAACACAATACACACAAATAAGAACACAGTGTCTTTGTACAGACTATAGGTATTTAAATAAACAGCTTTTTACAACCTACTGGCAAGTGCTGCAGAATCACCACGATGAAGATGTGTTACAGTAAGTCACTACAGTATCAGCATGCCCCGGATTCAGTCACAGGTCACTTACAGATGGGATAGGAACCTGAACTACTACTTGAGCCCTAGGTAGACTTTCAGGTACACCTTCCAGCATTTACTCCATTAACATGCAGTCCTAGACCTGCTGACTACAAACAAAAGTTACTAATTTTACTTCAAAAAAAAGATAAACCACTTTCCCAGGAGCAGTAAACTGTGTGCTGTAGACAACCAGTAAGTTCCTGCACAGTGTCACTACTGACCTCTAGAAACCCTGCTCTGTAACAGAATCCTGATACACCACCCACTGCTCTGCTGAGGAAACTCAGTCAAGTTGTTTTTGTGTTTCTATATCGTTTCCATAGCAAAGGTCAGTGCCTGCGTAAGTTAAACTAAAGCTGGAAGGCTAAAGACTGAAGGTCACTACAGGATAAGCCCAGAAGGGCTTCATGCCAAAGCACTTCCAGCCGTATTACTACACTGCACACAGGA